CAGGTTTTAAAACCCTAAAAGATAATAACATCGTGGGCAAGAGCCGTCGAGTCTGAGAAAAGCAGCTTAAAAACTGGTCGCATAGGAGAACACACACACACACGCGCACACACACACACACACACACACACACACACACACCAGCAGTGTTTGTTTCTTCGCATCAGCCTCGATACGGTTATCCTCCAGACGTCAGCGACTCCTCCAGACCCAATAGACAGGAGCAGAACCTCCCCGTCTGCAGACTGCGAGGTGTTTGAAAGATATACGGCGTGTCGGTGAAGATATCTTTTTCTTTCTTGGCTGGATTTCTTTAGATTGCAGACGGATAAGAATGCATAAAAACAATGGGTTCAAAGCAGCGAGCAGATCCAAGAGGAACGGCTGCTGCAGCAAAGTGTTGAGGGATTTCCTGCTGCTATCAAAGTGATATCAGACTGGACAGGATGTGATGTAACTCCGATGCTGATATGGCAGTTAGACAACCTTTTCTCACTCAGAGAGAGTGATGTTTTTTGGGTGGAAGCCTGTGAAATAATCCTGCACTTATCAACAGAAACCTTAAAGCCACGCCTCTTAAAACCCCCAAATCTGTCAGCATTTTTGCACTTTTGGTTCCCTCTTATCCAAATCAATGGGTTACTGCAGTGGTTTTCACCCCTGGTGGTTCGCGGAGGTACTGCAGGGGGGTCGCGGGAAGATTTTTTTATTTTATTATTTTCTCCTGTTAGCTTTGTGAAGCACCTTGAGAGATGACGTTGTTTTTAAAGTGCAGCTATATAAATCAAATGTATTATTATTATTATTCAATTGTAAACAAACACTGCTTGAAAATATCTCATTGGTCAGAGAGCTGTGGGCCTTTTGCAACATCCTACTTGTGTGAGATAGGCGTTTTCTGCTGTTGCTGCCATCAAAACGAAATGCAGATCAAAGCTGAACATTGAGAATGAACTGAGAGGGGCAGTTTCAAAACAACAGCCCCGCTTTGAGAAGATCTGCAAGGGAAAGCAAGCACACACAAGTCATTGATAAGCTCGTGTGGAATAGGATGTGATCGTTTGCAACCTGCAGTAGAAATAGTAATATATTTTCCTTAAAGAAATTTGAATTTAAAAATCTACTAGGACTTTGAATTGCCTTGTGTTGAAAAGTGCTATATAAATAAACTTGCCTTGCCTTGCCTTGCCTTGCCTTGCCTTGCCTTGCCTTGCCTTGCCTTGCCTTGCCTTGCCTTGCCTTGCCTTGCCTTGCCTTGCCTTGCCTTGCCTTGCCTTACTACTCAGGGAAGAAGGCCAACCAGTTTTAATTAGGCCAAATTAATTCACAGTATCTATTACAAGCACTTTTGTTCATGTGTAATAATAATAAAATATAAAATTATAGTTGGATCTTTGTATCTTCTTCTTATTAGCAGAGAAAATGTAATGTTTTTACAACAATATAAAATGAATCCTACCAATATAGATGGGAACCGGGTTGGGGGGGTCCCGAAAATATTTCCAATACCCAACCGAAAAAGTTTGGGAACCACTGGGTTACTGGAATAGATTGTTTGTTAGATTCCTAAAATAAGGAACATTAGAGACCTAAATGACCTTAACCCTTATGTTGTGTTCGGGGTCTCCCGTGACCCGTTTCAAGTTAAAATTATATAATAACTGCGCTTTAGTTTTTTGTATCGGAACAAGGCTATCCCCCACAGCAGCCACTACAGAACTGATTTTGACAATTTTAGCCAAGTCTGAAGGTCTCTAAAAAAAAAAAAGTGTATAATTTGGTGTTCGGGTCTGGGGAGACCCAGCAGCATTGTTGTGGGTGACTCGGGGTTAAATTTGGCCCAATCAAGATTCATCTTTGACTTTAGACACCCCACCCCCTTCATCCACTGTAACAATAATTTAAACTTTTTTTGGGGGAGATTGTATTCTAATATTATCCTATTATAGTCAGATAACGTAATGATCCACCGTCTTCACTATAGGAAATATAATGAGTGAATTTAATCACATGTTTTACTTAAATATGTGGTGTAATGTTTTTTAAGGCCATACAATTAAATAATAATAGGATTATACGGTTATGAATGCATAATAAGTTAGTTATGATGTAGTTAAAACAATATTGGATGATAGTCATTATTTTTGAGTGTTTTGGACCGAGATAAATCATGGGTCAAAATTGACCCGCGAACACCGTGAACTGTAACAGCTTTCGAACACAAGGGTTAAATACCTCCACACAGCTTTTACGCAAGCTAGCCAGTTAGCTTTTCACTCCGGCCAAATGCATTTAAGCTGCATTTATGCACTTATCAACTGAAACTTTAAAGCCACGCCTCTTAAAACCCCAAATCTGGAATAGATTGTGTTGTTAGATGCATGAAATAAGGTTGTTTTGTTCTATATCATTAAAAAAACTTCAGTATATACCCCACTATTAGCTTTTACGCTAGCTGGCCAGTTAGCTTTTCACTCAAATGCATTTACGCTTAAAAAATGTCCTTTGTTTAGGTTATCTTATTGAACCAAATGTATACATATAAGAAACTCTTGTTTGCCACAAAGCTGTGTTCTGCAATAATCCAAGAACCAGTGGAAAAATCCCATTATCTTTCGGTCCAGGGAACCAGAGCGATGCTAACTTCCGGGTCTCATGGGATTACTCATATATGTCCATATCAGGTAAAGAGCAAAGATCAAGGAGACGCTTTTAAACCCTCCTCATCAGAACATCGGTCATTCTTTAAGCATCTTAACTTGAGATATCTACCAAGACACATGGAACACCCTCTGCCCTCCTTTATCATAACTCACGGCTCAGATTGCTTACACATGTGTGGAGAATGTTGTCTTTGACCGGAGAGAGTTGATCCTCAGCGCCACACACTCATTCCTCAGATTCACTCACACACTGTTATGGCTCCGTTCAACCTTGGCTTTTTACGGGAGGAGGGGGATGAAACTCTGAGGAACATCTAACCAACGCTATCACAGGCTTGTTGCTCTAACCTCTGCTCTCCAAGACAACCAAGACAAGCATTGGAAGTGGAGACATCCATCAAGAAACATCACATTACTGACAGGAATGGGTTCTCCAAAGTCTGAGAGAACAAGCTTTTGTGGTATAATTTGAATTGTAAAGGTATTACACACAGAAGACCAAGCCAGGTGTTTCTTGAATTAAAAAAGGTTTCCATTTGGCAGCTAACTCTTAAATACATAGTTTGAAACTTTCAAAATACATAACTTGCTTTCTTTCCAAGAGATAGAAGAGAATATTGATACCACTAGCAATGTTTGTACACTTAATCGGAAGCTACAGCTAATAGCTGGTTAGCTTAGCATAACACCAAAAATGGAGGGAAACGAAAATGGTTAATGTAGCCCTTTCCAAATGCCAAAAAAACAGAACTTCTAACACTTAATTACACATGATGTATTGTTTCTTTTAAGTTGAATCATTCCCTTTAAATCTTGATGGGTTGCATCCAAATCCCTAAAGGCAGGTAATCAATAACAACACTTCTTAAAATTGTGAAAAACAAGTCTAAAAACGTTGCATTACACTTCATTTATCTGACGCTTTTTAGCTGTAACTCACAATAAGTGCAGTCAACCAAAAGGAAAACTGAATGAACATTAGTTTTCAAACAGCCAGGTGCTACTGCTTTACTAATAAACTAACAGACTCAGGTCATTTCAAAGGACAGTGGGTTAGAGGGACTCAGTGTTTGTAATACTGACTTTGTATGTTGGGTTTTTTTGTTGAATTCTTCTCATCAGTTTGGTAAATGTTTAATCGTATTAAGATGCTACTGTTAACTCCTGATCTATGGTGTTACTAAAAACAACTTTTATCTGAATCTAAATTAAAACAAACTTCTCTAAAAATGTCACGAAGTGTGTTTTGATGTAAGTAGGGGTTTCTTACGATACCTTACGTGAGAATATACTGAGTTCTGTAAACTCACATAAGGGGCGTTCACACCAAGTTCTTTTCACACAAAGGTTCATGAGAACTCTTTAGTTCTCATGAACTAAGTACAGATCGTGTTCACACCGGAATAAGTCCCTGAGGGAGGATTAGGAAAATGAAGCCGCTGACGTCACTTCTTCTTCTTCTGCTTTGGGTTTACTGGCAGGCCGCAAACCACTTCACGGCGTATACTGCCGCCCGAAGTCCCCGGCCGGAAGTCCCCGGAGTTGGGGACTGGCTTCAGTAGAAGCTGCTGGGAGTCCCAGCAGCTTCTACTGAAGCCTTCAGAGTAAATCGCCAGAACTCCAACACCTCCTCATCTCCACCATGTTTTCTTTTGTGTTGCCATAAGTTAGTCTCTCTGCGTTTTTGCGCTGGGCTAATGCTAATGCTAATAATGCTAATGCAAGGATAATAAAATGGCAGCTCAACAAAACTTTTTGGAGTTTACGGGGCGTGGTTTGCAATCCGCCCAGCCTATCAGACATAGGAACCTTTTTCTCCCACGAAAGTCGCTGCTCTCTAGCAGGGACTGAAAAGGGGGTAAAAAGGTTCTGATTAACTAATTTAGTTCAAGGGGCTTTTTGGTGTGAATGCAAATATATCTGAGTTCTGATGAACTATTGTGGAAAAAGTACTCGGTGTGAACGCGCCAATAGACCGAGTTCATTTAGGAGACGGGGGTTCAAATCAGTTTTTGAAACAAACAAACAAGAAGGGCAAATAATAGGGTTAGGGTTAGCAGGGGGACTGTGATGGTTTAGGGGTCAAAGGCCATGGAGAACAGGTGAGTTTTTAATGAAGACTTGAAGATGTTGATGGAAGCAGCAATGCAGATCTCTGCAGGAAGTTCATTCCAGATAAGACAACATAAGAAAGTACTTTATTGATCCCAAGTTGGGACGTTTTTGTGTTGCACTGAACGCCCTGGCACCAACAGTTCATAGGCGAGTACTGCGTTAGCTTCAAATAATCCCAAAAATGTAACGAGGACGTACAGAAGTGAGGAAACGTTCCCGTACCTTTGGGGATGCTGATCTTGAATTCCAGGTCCCTTTCCTCCAGGTGATACAGAGCCACTTCCTGCAGCCGGGCTCTCTCCAGCTCCGACAGACTCTGGATCGGAACCGGCTGCAGACGAACGCTCTGACCCAACATGGTGGCCCACGTGTGGTCCCCCTGAAGGAAGGGATGATTATCAGACGTTATTCAACCAGAAACCAGAGCATTAAAGGAGAAACAATCAGGGAACATTATCAACAGACCACCAAGTTCCCACTCTCTCTCATATGTGACGTCAGACTGTGGGACGTAATGGAGGTTTTGAGTTCATGTAGTCACCATCATTCCTCTCGTGCATGTGTTGATAGTTAGTCTGCATGTATGAAGCAATCCAATATCTTTCTCAACACTCAGTACCTTCCTCCTTCACCATTATTCCTCTCTGATAGTTACTCTGTAGTATCATTCGGATTTATGTATAAAGCAATATAATGTGTCTTTCTCAACACCTTCATTTCATTACACTCCACTGAGTTTTACTAAAATAGTGGATTCTTATCATTTTGGATTCATTGTTCTTGGAGTTGACACATACCAACATTTAGGATAATGGATCGGATGCTCCTGCTTTGATTTTTCTTCTTCTTTCAAACATCTCTTACATCTCTTTTCTTATCAAGCTCCACATTTGTGGAATCAGCTTCCAGTTTGTGTTCGGGCGGCAGACACCCTATCCGTTTTTAAGAGTGCGCTTAAGACCTTCCTTTTTGATAAAGCTTATAGTTAGGGCTGATTAGATTCAGACCTTAGTTTTGCTGATATAGGCTTAGTTTGTCGGGGGACATCTTACTTCTTCCTTCTCTCTGTCTATACCTGTGTACTCTCATGTTCCGATTAACCCAGCTTCCCCAAATGTCTTTCTTTTTGGTGTCTATATACGCCGGGATCCGGAGTCATGGATGATCCTGCGCTCCTCTGTCCTGGATCGCGAGCCCTGGATCTTGAGTCGTGGCTGTGGTCCTGGATCATAGGTCCTGGATGGATATCCTCGTGGTTTCATCTTCCTATTATACACACATGCATTTCCAAACATTTGGACTACCTATGTTGCAAATGTATTATCTTTTCAATTTACACACGGCATCTATTGCACGTCTGTCCGTCCTGGGAGAGGGATCCCTCCTCTGTTGCTCTCCCTGAGGTTTCTCCCATGTTCCCTTTAAACTGTGGGTTTTCTCCGGAAGTTTTTCCTTGTACGATGTGAGGGTCTAAGGACAGAGGGTGTCGTATTGTCATACTGATATTTTGTACAAACTGTAAAGTCCACTGAGACAAATGTAACATTTGTGATATTGGGCTATATAAATAAACATTGATTGATTGATTGATTGACAGGTGTCCCAACGTATTTGCAAATCCCTGAAATAGCCTTGTATTGCAATGAAATGTTGTATACGTCTCGTTGTTGATAGTGCAGTCACTTTATATATATGATGTTCTTGTATTAACACCGGTCTTGTTTGGTTTTAAGATCAGTTTTTAGTCCTTGGTTTGGTTTGTAATAGTTCATTCATACATTATTTGTTTTTATTTACCCAAAATGCATGCCTTCTTCAAACCTTGGATAACAAAAAGCGCTAATTGTTGTCCAAAACTGTACTCACGTTGTTCTCTTTAAGCTCGGGCATTTCTACACAGTAGCTTATGTGCATACGACATTACATCTTTGAATTGAAGTCAGACACACATACTGTAGACACCTGTGTAGTGAAATATTCTAAAAAGCAACGTTTCGGTACTTTTTCGGTAGAATTGTGATCATATTAATTAATTAATTCCTTACATTTATTATAGCGCTTTTCCAGATGCTCAAAGCGCTTTACAAATACACATTACACATATCATCATCCATGGTCATGTACTGTGGACAATACCCACAGGAGCAAGTTCAGGTGAAGTGTCTTGCCCATTGACACAACGGCTTTACAGACGCAGCAGCGGCGGGTTTCCCCCCTTGATCTGATGATCATTGCACACTGCGCCACACCGTCCATCTTCACGCCTCGAAGTCATCGAGGCGCTTTTACAAGTACACATTGATATTATACATGTACTGTGGACATTACCCACAGGAGCAAATCCACGGCCACGGCCTTTTTCAGTTAATGACATCTAAAGACACATGTTTAAATCAATTCATGTTCTATTAGCTGAAAAGTACAATGGGAAAAGGTCCAAAGCTTTTAAAAAAAGGGTAGAAAGTGCAGCTCACACTCCCACGCTCCAGTGTTTACTGCAGGGTCTCGGGGGTCTTGTGAAATCTGCTGAACACGAAAAATACAATACAAATAAACAAAAAAGGAGCTATGGTTAGTCCTGTAAAACATTCTGAAATGCTCCCAAGTAGACAGTTGGACGTGGTGTAAACTAGCCGATGTTTTCCTAAGTGATTTCTATTTAAGAAAGACTCTGTTCTTGTAATAAACAGAGGAGTGGATGCATTAGTCTGCAGACAGTGGAGTTGTTTAGATTGGAGGAGATCCAGAGAATCATCAAATCGAGCTGGACTTGATTCTGTTTTAATCAAAAAGGCGTTTTTCCCGCTACAGAAGCCACACACACTTTGTCTGAGGCTTCAAATGGACCCGTACTGTTTCCCTTTAGCACCGTAAGTAAACATTTAAGGTGCTTAAGTTGAGTCTTTTCTTTCCATGCCACCTAATTTCTACTCTAATACATTTCAGAGGGACATATTGTACTTTAACTTGCTTTAAAAATGAAGATTTCTGCACAAGAACACGTTTAACATAGTGTACAAATCCTGATGTAAGAAATTAAAGTGCACCAAAGTTTACACAAGTACAGCTCCATGAGTCAATTAGAAGAAATTACATACAAATAATTGGTGACTATTTTGATCATTTTCATGAGTTTCCAAGTAATAACATGTGATGGGTTCCACCTATACGATAGATACGAGGATTGATCCCAAATCGGGAAATATTTGCGTATAAAAAACAGTAAAACAAAACAAGCAATTGCACATAAGTAGAAAATAAAGTGTAGAAATAAACAATACTAGAATTGAAACATGTGAAGATAAAAAAAATGTATAACCTCTGACAATAAAACATGAAGGGAAGTCGAAATGTCAAATATAGTGCTTTTATTAACGTTGATATATTTGAATAATGTTAGACTGTGTATGGGCTCTAGGGTAATTCATACTGCAGTTATCTCCATTACCAACTTCTTTTACAAACCAAATGCTCCACCTTTGTATTTTCGAAGGACTATAAAGCACTTACGTTAAGGATCTAAATACTTCCGTCATAACACAGCAGTAGAGTGAGAGAGTGAGAATGACAGAGGGAAGTAATGAACAACAGGATGAGTTGAAGCGGACAAAAGAGAGAACGAGAGCTTTGAGAGAGGGTGAGAGAACGGGGAAACAAAGCGGAGTGATTATCGGAGAGAGGGTGTGTGTGTGTGGTGTGTGTGGTGTGTGGGTGTTGTTTGTGTGGTGTGTGTGTGTGGGTTGTGTGTGTTGTGTGTGGTGGTTGTGTGTGTGTGGTTGTGTGATGAGAAAGGCAGCGGGTCACAAGTTAACAAGAAGGCACACACAGCACACCACTCCACATCTGAGTAGAGTTTCACCACAACTTCACCCTGTCAGACACAATCTGGCTTTAATCGTCGTGTGTGTGTGGTGGTGTGTGGTGTGGTGTGTGTGTGTGTGGTGTGTGTGATGTGTGTGTGTGTGTGTGTGTGTGTGTGTGTGTGCTGTGTGTTGGTGTGTGTGTGTGTGTGTGTGTGTGTGTGGTGTGTGGTGTGTGTGTGTGTGTGTGTGTGTGTGTGTGTGTTGTGTGTGTGTGTGTTGTAGTGTGTGTGGAGAAACCCATTGAGAGAACCTGCACATTGAGTCTGAGGGATTTTGCACAAACGCATGAAAATAAATCGGCTGAAATCCAAAACACAGCGAGACGCCGAGGGGCTGCATTCACTCTTTCCCTTCCTTCCTCGTCACCTTTGTTCTCTTTTCCTTATCACTACCATCATTCTTCTATCCTTAATGTCTTCCTTTCTTCTTTATTTCCCCCCACTTCCTCCTCTACTCCCTCTTCCTCACTTCCTTCCTCCCCAACACTACTTTATTCCTTATTTTTTACTCTAATAATTGTCTAGATTATTAAAAATGTTGTTAGGAGGACGGTTGGAAATGTCAGAAATAGATAAATCCTAAGTACTTACTTAGTAGTTACTTGGGACCGATTCTTGCATAAAAATGAAATTATGGATTATCAATAATTTTTTCAAAGTGACAGACACATTGGATTAACCTTCAGCCGCGTTTTTTTCTCGTTTTAATGCCATTGAACACGACTTTTGATCAGAAGCAGCTAAGGTGCATATCTCCATGTTTTGCTACCTAAAGCTACTCGTCTGTATTTGCTTCCCCCGTCGCTAGTTCCGATCGCTCAGTGATGATCCTTATATGTCTATAATCTGTGGAATCTCAGGATGTTAGCTAAGCTTGTTTGTGCGGATCCAATAAGTATATTGATCGGTATAGCTAGAGTTCTGTGCTAACGGCCTTAAGATTTGTTTGCCCGTGGCTAATTCAGAGGCTCAGCGTTAGCTTTGAGGCTTTAAAAAATTAAAAAAATTAAAAAATCAGTTAGCTGAGTTTCTCCCCGTTACATAGATATGAAACATTCATAGTTTATTAAATCTTAAGAAGCCCTCAGACACTTTTGCTTGCAGATGTTGTTATTTCGGCCCCTTCGGCGGGTCCGTGGGGCTTAAGAGGTTAACACGATTAGTAATAGCTTGAACAATGTAAACCTTTTAGAAAATACCCAACATTTCCCAAGAATCCTGCAGGTGCTTCCTGCCGTTTTAATCACTGTTAATATCGTGTTGTCTAATACATGTTCTGCACTCTCACGCCAGGCTTTATACCTAATCTCTCTGTTTCCTGCCGTTGGCATCGAGCCCTGATTGAAACGTTTCAGACTGAGTTCAATGTGCAGGAAACTCAACGAAGCAGCATGTGATCCTCTATACGGCTTCAGAACTAAGAGGAAAAACCCTGAGGAAATAAGGCTGACGTGAATAACAAATGACTCGGCAGATATTTGCTACTTTGGGGACAGATCTCTTTTTCCACCTCTGCA